TGCACCACAGCTATTGTGTTCCTGAGAATTACCATGAACATAGTGAATGCATCCAGGCAGGAGAAAGACAATCATTTAATAAGATATTATTTTAAGTCTTCCATATGCTATAACCATTGGACTTGACAAAATAGATTTTGATTGAAATACACTGTACAAAGAAGGAATGACCAAACTTTCTCCCAATAATTATTTTCACGAGTTGCATGAGTTTTTTTTAAATATTATGCATAAGACACAGTGGACTGCCAACTTACAGTATGCACAAGAAATGGGTTATAAAGTTAGTTCAAATCCATTAGTTGCTTTTCCACTCCTCACTAATATTTTCTACTAACCTGTATATTGCACAGGGGTTTTTTTTTACGTTAATGATATAACTTTTTCCTTCTTTCAAATATCCACCATAATACAGTGGCACTGTTCAATATTGTCATTTCTCCAAACCCTAAATTGCCAAACTAAGTCACTGAAGACTTCATGGTTTTCCTGGCAATCATTATGGAAAGGATACAGAGGTGCAGCAGAATTTTAATAGATCAGTTGTACAATTGTAGATCAGTATAGGGATATTTTCCTCACATTTTTCTGGTACTGATGCCTTATTTGTAACACTCAGTGTGCATGGAAAATGTTTACATTTTTTGTAGTTTTTCATACACAGAAGAGGAAATTGCCTGCTGAAGACACTTTGTTGTGGCATAAACAGTGGAATATGGTTGTTGCATCTACTGGTGTCTCTTTGCCTAAGTGAAACAGATGAAAAGGAAACTCATCAAATGCTTTACATTTCACATCTCAATTTAGGGCAATTTATTAAAAACAGCTGTAAAACATTGGCTTGACAGATGTGTTTGGGGTTATTAGCACTGGATTTGCCCAGCAATAACTGCAGTCAAAATAGGAAGTAAAAGGGACCACGAAAAAAGTAGCCATTGGCTTAAAAATGAATAGACTTCTCTTTAGTTCAATGAATTCTCAAATCATTTTCATAAGGATTCTGTAAATCGTTAGGGGAAGCAATACATTAGCATCATTAGATTAGCACAAAATTTGCACAGAAAGGGGGTCTTTAAATTTTGTTGCCAAGCATAAAGCAGGTAATAGTGATTCAAGATCTAATTTTACAGCTTGACCAACTTTCTTTACTATTGAACCCTAAACAGTTATTAGCATATTCAAGAGTGCCTAAGTCAGGCACCCGGATACCTAAAAACAAAAACCTTTACAAATGTGCTGGCGCCTTTAATATATGTGCAGAATGACTGCAGAATATTATAGGAATGTAGGACACTAACAGTGTAGGATATAGGAGCAGGTGTAGGCCACCCGATCCCTTGGTGTTGCTCTGCCATTCAACTAGATCATGGCTTCTACTTCAATACCATTTCCCTGTAGTGTTCCCATATCCCGTGATGCATTTCATATGAAGAAATCTGTGAATGTCTGTCTTGAATATTCTCAATGACTGAGCTTCTATAGCCCAGGGCCAGAGAATTTCAAAGATTCACTGCCCTTTTTAAAAAAGTAATTCCTCCTCATTGCATTCCTAAATAACCTATCCCTTATACTGAGATTGTGTCCTTAGGTTGTAGGGTCCAAGCCAGGGTAAAATCCTTCATGCAGCTAGCCTGAAAGAATTTGAAGCACACTTCAATTAGCTTATGTCTCATTCTTCTAAACTCTAGAATTCTTTCTGTTTATGTGGATAGTAGGTTGATTTGAAGAGCACCAATGATGATACATTTATTCTAGAATACCTTGGCATTTGGACCTCTACCACACATTGGAAGTTTTGTCCCAGTTCAGCAAGTAATCCTACTCCATAGAGAAAGCGATTACATTGCTGTGCTTTGTAAATATCACACCTGTCAGCATTTTGACACATTTTTAGAGTACAGAATGTTTTGGTAGATTTCCTATGCTTTGGCTTGCAAAGATCCACTGATATAACGGTTTAAAGCATTACCTAGTGAAGGACTATTGTGACAGTGGGAGTTGTTTGTAGAGGCAGACAACGCAGGTGTCTAATAATGCGCTCAGCCTATAAGTAACTGGCAGATGTCAACATAATGCATCAGATGTTGCCTCGTCTGCACTTGACTTCAACCCATAAATACATCTTCTATTTTTAGAACTCTGCTGCCTACATCCTAACTTGCACCAAGTCCCATTTACTCATGACCAATATGTGCAGGAAACTTTTTTAGATGCCTAGCCATTTACATTTTCTTGCATGATCATGCACACACTTTAATCCACAGGTGCCTACCTCTGCATGGTCTGTACAAGAATGTTCAGGCTGCTGCAAAGCTACACAACCTAGAGTGAGATTGTCCAGCACCTGAGTTCATTGATATAAAAACAAAAATTGCTGGAGAAACTCGGGAGGTCTTGCAGCATATGTAGAGAGAAAGCAGAGTTCATGTTTCAAATCAAATGAACTTTCTTTAGAACAGAATTCTCCAGTAATTTCTGTTTTGTTTCAGATTTCTAGCATCTGCAGTTCTTAGTTTTATTTAATTGATATATTTGAGTCGTGAGGATCAATGCCTCATTTTAAAATTCTCATTCATGTTTCAAGTCTGTCCACAATTTACTTCTTCCTATCTCTAAATCTTCCTCCAGCTTTACAACTAAGATATCAAACTCCAATTCTGGCCTCACAAAGCATGTCCAATTCTAATGAATAACAACCATGGTTTCAGTTGCCGAGTAAGCTCTAGAACTCCCTCTCAAAACCTCTCGGTCTTGCTATCTATTTTCTGCTTTTATGACGCTCCTTAAAACCTACCTCTTCAACTCAGCTTCTCCTTATTTTCCTTATGTGGCTGATATCACATTTAATTTGACAATGCCCCAGTAAAATGTCTTGCGATATTTTACTGTGTTAGAAGTGCTATATAAATACAATTCATTGATATCATGCTCTGAGCATTTCCTTTGCTGCCACTTTAATTGCAGCAACAATTAATTTAGAGGGACAAAAGGATTATATGAGAAATGGTGCCATCAGAACAACAGAAACTAATGGCTGGAACAAAATCCTGCTAAACATCAATGCTTGTTGATAAAATGTCACTGTGTGGAACTTACACAGCTGTTGGCAGGATCTGCCTGTGTTGTTTTGCTTAAGGTTGATGGAAACCCCAGAAAAATAGAAAAAAGGTATTCACATTATTTCTCTTGTGTTTTTAACTGACTTCAGCCAAAATAATGACACAATGTGAGAAAAACTCCTACAGAAATTCTAATAATTGTATTGAGATCAGAAATAGAATGGGATCAAGGAGAGATCTTAGGACCCTCAAGAGATTACACTGGAGGACAGGAAAGATGCCATTGAGGGAAATTCATTGTCAATGACTAGACAAGTGAGGCAAGGCCAGTCCCATTTAGATGTACAATGGAGGAGGGGCATTTGAGGAGGATGAAGTGGTCAAACGCTGCAGACAGGGTGGAAAGTGGGAGGGGAAGTACCCTATGTAGTCATACAGAAATTTTATAGGGACCATTTCAGTGCACAAGCATGATAAAAATCCATTTGATGGGGGGTGAAACATGAAATTACAAGAAAGATGACCACAGACTAGGGAGGTGACAATGCATTCAAGAACTTTGGAAAGAAAGAGAGATTTGGAATTGAGTGTCGGTCTACTGATGCATACGGGTTAAAGATATCTGTGATGTGTTATGGATGCACAGTTATGGGAGTTGGGCACATTCATAATTTCCTCTATCATGGGGTCAGGAAGACAGGTGATTTAGTGGGAATGTAGAGAGAACAGAAGGGGGAATCTCATGGGTGACATCAGGTCAGAAAAGAAAGAGATACAGAAGAGAATCTGGAGAGATAAGTTCAGGCTTAAGCAGATGGTGTGGGGGGGAGGGCTGGAGCTGCATGAAGCTTTATTTAGTGGGCAAGGGAATGTAGCAGAGGCAGTTAAATGAAGATTCTAATCATAGGATCAGAACAGGTTCACGAGGCTCTTCGCACTTATTGAAAGTGATGTTGAAAGGTGCAGAACAGCTATAAGGTGATTGCTTGTAGTGGAAAAAAAGATGATAGGATTTATAGGGTATCAAAGCTTTCAAACAATATAGCCTGTGCTATACCAGATATTTAAAACAATAAGAAATACAATTGCCTGAGAGAGGTGACACAATAGGTTCAATTGTTTTATAGAGTCATACAGTATGGAAACAGACCCTTCAGTCCAACTTGTCCATGCCAACCAGGTTTCCAAAACTAAACTAGTCCATTCGCCTGCATTTGGGTCATATTGCTCCAAATCTTTCCTGTTCATGTACCTGTCCAAATGTCTTTTAAATATTGTACTTGTACTCGCTTCTACCACTTCCTCTGGCAGTTCATTTCACATATGCACCAACCTCTGTGTGAAAACGTTGCCCTTCAGGTCTTTTTTTAAATCATTCCCTCTCACCTTAAACCTATGCCCTCTTTTTTTGAACTTCCCTACCCTAGGGAAAAGACCTTGGTTATTCACCTTATCTATGCTCGTCCTGATTTTAAAAACTCCTATAAGGTCACCCTTCAACTTTCTACGCTCCAGGGCAAAAAAAAATCCCAGCCTATGCAGCCTTTCCTTATAACTCAAACCCTCCAGTCCCGGTAACATCCTTGCAAATCTTTTCTGCACCCTTTCCAGTTTAACAACATCCTTCCCAGAGTAGGGCGACCTGAACTGTACGCATCACTCCAATGTCCTGTACAGCTGCAACATTACTTCCAAGCTTCATGTCTCAGAATTTTAACCTAAAACACAAACTGGAACATTGCCAAACCAATATTAATTTACGATTGTAGTAGGATGTTTTACACAATGTACATAATCTGTCGTTGGCATCTTACCTTTCAACTACATATTCAATTTGATCACTAATAAGTTTTAGGTTAATTCATTTTGATTGTTCAGTGCAAACCTTAAATGGATAAATACAAGTGGGTCATGGTATGATCCTTTACCACGAATTCCTACCTGTAATATTGCAGTTCTGATTCCAACTGTGCCACACTCCTTTGTAACAATGGAACTTGTTTCGCTCTCGTCTCCAGATTTTTCACTTTCTCGAGGCTCCCCAACAAGGCTTGGCGCGCCTGTTCGACCCTTTTCCTCATCTGCAGCTGCTCCTTCCTCAGGTTCCTGTTGCACTCCTCCAGCTTCAACAGAGCCTCCTGCGACCTGCCCAGCTCCTTCTCCATCTCCTGGTTGAAGCGGATCGCCTCTTCGATCTGGCCGTCCCTGGAGCTGCGGATCAACTCGATCTCCTTGAGGACACTCCGCAGGCCCTTGTGCTGCTGGCTGGCGGCGCCGCGGAGGTTCCGCTCAGCGGCCGCCCTGCTCCAGGCGAGGAAGCAGTGCTGGGAAGCGTGGCCGGCGTGGCTCTTCCACAGGCCGACCTGAAGGGCCAGCGAGCGGGCATCGCTGCTCTGCAGGGCGGCCCTCATGTCCTCCACCAGCTCCCGGAGGCTTTCGTTCTCCAGCTCGAGCTTCGCGATCTTGTCCTCCGCTTCTTCCAGGGCGACGATGTCCTCGTAGCATTCCTGGCTGCAGGGACCGTGCTGCTTCCAGGAGAAGCCCCTACGCTGCCCTGGAGACGACGCTGGGCTTTTCTTGTTCTTCTGCTCCTTCTCCTCGGGCGGTCGGTCGGTGCCAGCCGCTTTCTTCCGGCGCCTGAGCGGGCTCCTCAGCCGGATCTGGGTCTCGATGTGCTGGCTCTCCTTGGCGACCAGCAGCCGGCCTGTCTCGTACTGGCAGCCGGCCCTGGTGCTGAAGTGACCGCACAGCTTGGCGTGGAACTGCCTGAAGCTGAGCTCCCGTGGCACCTGCTCCAACATCCCCGCGCCCTCCTCCGAATCCGAGCTCTCGTCCAGCCCCAGGATTTCGCACAGGGTCTGGAAGTCCTCGCCGGGGATCCTGCCCTCGCCCTCGCAGTCCAGGTGGTGGAAGATCTCCTGCAGGTACTGGTCCAGCCCCGTGGCCAGCACGATGATCTCGTTCTCCACCCCCCGGTCCAGCCCGTAGTGATAAGCCAGCGCGCTGACGATCCACTGGGTCCGCCGGGCTGGGCACCTGTAGGGATCGCAAGCCTCCGGTCTCTCCATCTCCCACGACAACAAATTTTAAAACAAAAACAAGCAAAATTCACAACCCCCTCAGCAGTTCAGGAGGTTGGGGACCGAGCTGGAGTTTAAAGGCACTGAGTTAATGGCTCTGTTATCATCGCACATGATGGTGAGCTGTGGGCTCCCAGCTCGGTCCCTGGGACTGGAGCGGCCTGGCGCCGTGAGTTTGCAGCACACACACACACTGTGTGCTACAATTGGAAGTGATCATCAAAATAAAAGTGCACGCGTTTTGTGTGACGCCAGCGGGGGGAGGAGAGAGAAGGACGGTGAGAGGGTGTAGAATGAAGGGCTAAAACTTGGTTCGACATGACAGCTGCTTCGCTTTTTTCTCGGTAGAAACGCCTCCGGTGGACCTGCGGCACTTCCCGCCCCATTGCTTTGTAAACGCACACATTGCGGGTGGACTTTGTCGAACCCGCCTCCTCAATTCTCTGACCATTTACGGGAGACCCGGCTGACCACTGACAAAGATAATTACGGAACCAGACGGGCAAGGTGGCCATTCGGCCAGTCGTGTCCGTATTGGCTCTGTGAAAGAGCAGCTCATCTAGTGTCACTTTCCCGCTTTTCCTCTGTAACGCTACAAATCATTCCTTTTCAGACAATGGCCAATTCCCTTTTCGAAGGGTCAGTTGAGCCTGCTTGCACCATAATATTAGGCAGTGCATTTGAGATTTTAGCACTCACTGTGTGAAAAAGGCTTTTCTCATTTTCATTATTTCTTACCTTCAATCTGTACCCTCTACTTCTCATTCTTCCAGCAATGGGAACAGTTTCTCCCCATCTAATACTGTACAGTTAGTCCTCATTGTAATTACCTTACTGAAAAGTGTAACTTTAGATGAAGCAACGATAAGTGAACCAAATTTCACCAACATTAAAGGTTTAGTTCTGGTCTGTGGGTCATTTCCAATCTTAAAAAAAGTAAACATTAAAACTTTATGCCCTGTAATTTTAAATAATATACATTGCTAAATTATTGCATTCATAATTTGAGTGCCTACGGATTGGTACAAGAAGCATACAGAGAATGGTTCAGAAACATAAAGAAGGAACCAGGTCAGACTTATGTCAAGTTTTAAAGAATTAAACATAGCAACTTTGATAGATGGGTGAGAGCAGTAAAGATAGAAAAGATATTTGAGGATCTTAAAGAGATTATTCTGCACGAGGAGTTTAAAAACTCACTTCCAGAGATGATAAGAATTCATGTTGAGGAACAGAAAGTTCAAACAGCAAGAGCTGCAGAGATGGTGGATGAATGTGTATTAGCGCATAAATCGAAATTTAACTTCTGACGGCAATTTCATTCAGTGAGAGATAGAAATTGGGAAAAAGGGAGGTCCGTCAATAAGAAACAAAAAAATAGATCACACTGGGAACAGTTTACCACAGGTGAAAAAAGAAACCCAAGAAGGTGAAAAGGAGGTGAAAGGCTTCAGGTGTTTTCACTGTAATAAGGTGGGACACACAAAATCACAGTGCTGGTGGTTTAAGAAAGGCACTGGGAAAAAGGGTGTGGTACAAGATGCTAAACCAGTGGGATTAGTTGAGATAGCGAAGGAAAACCCAAAAGAAGTCAAGGAACTGCAGAAGAGTGCACAGCCTAGTCACAGGCTAAATAGTGAGACAGTGCCCAATCTCTACAAAAACTTCACCTCTGCGGGTCAGGTTTATTCAGTAAGAACGGGGGGGGGGGGGAGAAAATAAAGAAGTTAAAATATTGAGAGATACAGGAGCTGGTCAGGCTCTAATAGTAAGAGATGAAAGTATTTGCACTCCTTCTGAAATGTTACCCAAGAGAGTGGTAATCTGTGGAATAGATGGACAGAGATTTAGCGTTCCCCTGTATAAAATCAGGTTGGAAAGTCCAATCAAGACTGGGGAAGTGGAAGTGGGAGTGATTGAAAGAGCGTCAATTCCAGGTATGGAGTTTGTTCTTGGAAATCTTGATCTTAGCAGGATCAAAAGTGGGAGAGACACTGCTTGTAGTGGAGAAGCCGAAGGAAAACTAGGGAACTGAGGAGTTAAAAGAAAAGTACCCTGGAGATTTTCCAGACTGTGTGGTAACAAGATCCCACAGTCATAAGTTACAGCAAGAAGGAAAAAGGAAAGAGAGAGACAAAGGAGTTGAGGTCCAGTTAGCTGACACCCTGTTTGGTAAAGGAAAAACCTGAACAGGTAGAGGATCAGGCAGAGGTGTTTAATTCTGAAAAAATACTGGAGTTACAACAAAAAATATAGACAATAAAAGCCTATATCATAAAGCCTACTTGGAAAAGGAATCAGAATGTATTCCTGAGAGTAATTATTGTAAGGATAGAATCCTAAAGCAAAAATGGAGACTTTGGCAGGTTAGTGCAGAGGAGAAATGGGCAGAAGTGCATCAGATTATGTGGCTGGTAGCATACAGATAGGAAGTATGACGGGTAGCACACACATGACCAGTAGGAGGTAATTTAGGAGTGAGGAAGACATAGGCTAAAATACAAAAGCACTTCTATTGGCCTGTTTTACATAAAGATGTGGTTGAATTTTGCCGTAACCTGTCATGCTTGTCAAATGGTAGGAAAGCCTCAGGCAGTAGTAAAACGAATGCCTTTGATGCCAATTCCAGCATTTGAAGAACCTTTCACACGGGTTATGATTCATTGTGTAGGTCCTCTCCCGTTATGGACTACCCAGAGAGATTCAGTCAGACCAAGGGTCCAATTTTACTGCCAAACTATTTAAGGAGGTCATGGATAGTTTAGAATCAAACACTTTAAATCGAGTGTGTACCATCCCGAATCACAGGGAGCATTGGAAAGGTTGCATCAGACCCTAAAACCCATGCTGAGGGCTTATTGCCAGAATTACTCAAACAATTGGGATAAAGGTATCCCATTTATATTGTCTGCCATTAGAGGTGCCCCAAATGACTCGACTCAGTTGACTCCCATTTGAGTTGATATTCGGGCAAGAAGTAAGACAGCCTTTAGTATTAATTAAGGAAATGTTGATAGGTCCGAAGTCAGATATCTCCCAATTGGATTATGTATCAGAGGTGAAAGAAAGATTAAACAGAGTCAGTGAATTAGCTGGACAATATCTGAAGGTGGCACAGCATCTACTGAAGCAAGAAGCAGGATAAGAAATCTAAAATTTGTACGTTTTCCCATGGGGATAAAGTATTGGTACTGTTAACAATGATAGGAGATCCCTTCAAAGCAAGGTTTAGTGGTCACTATCAGATTGAGAAGAAGTTGAGTCAGGTGAATTATTTGGTAAAGATGCCAGAGACGAAAAAACTTTATCCAGTATGTCATGTGAATATGTTGAAAACCTACTATGTCAGGGACAGGGAACCGGAAAAACAGGTATTAGTTACTGCCCGTCAGAGTGAGGAATCAAATCCAGATGATTTGGATTTTGATGTGCCTCAAAGTAAGTTAAGTAATGAAGAAGTCCTTAGTGAATGGGATAGGATAGTGAGCTATCTGTCTCAGGAACAGGGAACTGAATTGAAAGGCTTGTTGCAGCAATATGAGGACATATGTAGGAATAGAATGAGGAGGACTAATAATATAGTACATGAGGTTGAAGTAGGGAATGTTACTCCTTTAGAACACCACTACAGGCTTAATCTTCTCAAAGGCGCACAGGTACGGAAGGAAGTGGAAGCGATGCTCCAAGAAGACATCATCGAGCCGAGTCAAAGTGAGTGGATTTTGCTGATCGTGTTGGTTCCCAAACCTGATGGTACTGAGTGGTTCTGTGTGGATATTCAAAAGGTAAATGATGTAACTAAATCGGACTCATACTCAATTCGAAGGCTGGACGACTGTGTGGAAAAAGTTGGACAAACCACTTATATCACAAAGTTGGACTTACTCCATGGGAGCTGGCAAGTACCTTTATCCAGTATGTCATGTGAAGAGAGCAAAGGAAGTTTCTGTGTTTGTAACCCCAAATGGGCTGTATCAATTTAAAGTAATGCCCTTTGGTATGAAGAACGCACCAGCCACATTTCAAAGACTTATGAACAGAGTTGTGGCAGGATTGATTACTGGTGCTATCTATGCAAATGACTTAGTGATCTTTAGCCATTCATGGAAAGATCACATGGTGCATTTGGCAGAGCTCTTTGAAAGACAACTGGAGTCAAAACTGGTTAGAAATTTAGCAAAAACTGAATTCGCAAAGACAGAAATGACATTCTTGGGACATAACATTAGACAAGGAAGGATGACCCTGAGGAATGTGAAGACAAAAGCCATCAAGGAATTTCCAAGACCATCCTTGAAGAAAGAAGTGCTTTGATTTTTGGGACTGAGCAGATTCTACCGGAAGTTTGTGCCAAACTTTAGTAGCGTGGTGGCACCGCAGATGGATTTGTTAAAGAAGGATACAAAATTTCAGTGGACGGAACAATGCCAGGAGGCATTTCAGAATTTAAAAGCCATGTCAACCATCACACCAGTTTTAGCCATACCAAATTTCTTGAAACCCTTTAAAGTCACTATTGATGACAGCAATATGGGGATTGGAGCTGTGTTAATCCAGGAGGATGATGGCGGAATTGAAAGGCCAATTGTTTTTTTTTCAAAGAAACTCAAAATTCATTGGAGAAAATACTCCACCATTGATAAAGAATTATTGAGTTTGGTACTGGCCTTACAACTTTTTAATGTGTATGTTACAAACAATGTTTCAGAGATGGTTGTGCATACAGACCACAACCCTCTCACTTTTTTGGAAAGATTTAAGGACAAGAATACGAGACTTTTTTTTTGCGTCTTATATCACAGGCTTTTAATTTACAGATTGTACATGTTGCGGGTTGTAAGATGTTATTGCAGATGTGTTATCGCGGGTTTAAAAGAAAATGTAGAGATAAGATAGAACCAATTCAGTCCAATGGTGTATTATGCGGAATTAGTATGAAATGTGTAACTTTAGATTCTTGACCTATATATTTCGTGCTAATGGTGTTAAGATTTAGAGAGAAACAAAATGATGGTTCATTTTGTTTTCTCAAGGGAGTAGGTGTTACGAAGTAGTGTACAATAATCATGAATTGGAAGGCAGGAAATTAGAATTTGTTTGTTAAAAAAAAGGGGCGTGGTCCCTTTAAGAGATAGAGTTCTTTTCAAAACTTATAGATTTAAACAGAAAATATCTGCAAGCAGCTGCACAGAATTCATTAATTAAAACGTGTATCGAAGAGTTATACTGTTAGCAGGCAAAGCAGCATTTTTATCAAGACAACAGGTTTTTGAATTTAGCCAAGTAGTTTAAACTAGGCCCTTGATACTGAAAGCCAATTGAATTTAAATCGAATCGTGTTGACAACCTGGGATCAATCCTAGTGTAAGAAATGGACAGGTCATCAAGGGTATAAAAGGGAGGGTTTTTGGAAAACTGGCAGGGAGAGCCAACTGCCAGTTGAAGGGGTGAGAGTGAACTACAATCTGAGAAATAAGCCCCTACCTCTCATAAGAAATCCCTAAGCTCTAAGAAAGCACCATCTTAACCATCAAAAGTAGCACAGCATTTCTAGCTAACAGTCTTGACAGAGAAAACATCCCTGACAGCAGAATCAGTAGAAGAAAGACATTTGTGACTTGAGATCAACAGAAGAAAGGCTGGAGAAGGCAAAGTGTTCCAGAAGACACAGTCTGTGTGAACTTGGAGAGATTAAGTTTTAATTTATTGTTGTCTTATTAATTGGGTTTATATAAGTGAGACTTGTGTTTATTTGAACAATATTCCAGTAGAATTTAGTTCAATTCATGAATAACTAGTACTTTTGGGGGAGTTGTTTGGTTTGATATTAATTCTATTAATTTATTCATTGTTAGAGTGTTAGAGTTAATAAATAAATTGTTACTTGTTATTTATAAAGTGGATCAGGGATTTTCTTTCTTTTAACAAATGACGAGGTGAAAGACGAGCCTCTCTGGGTGTTTTGGGGTGATTATTAGAAGGGAATCTCTACTCCTGTCATAACAGGATTGTGGCATGTGTTTCAATTTTAACTATCAGAGGGGTTCGACCTCCCCTTCTTATAACACAATATATAAAGTAACAAATAAATAAGGTTTAATGAAAAGCCAAACATGAGAGGTTAAGGTTGATATGACCAGTTGGTTTCAAATTTTATACTTAATACTTTTTCTAGCTTTAATGGGAAGTTCCTGATTACATGAAGCTTGCACTCTAATCCCCTTTCACCTTTAGCAAACAATACGGCTTTCATTCATTAGCTAGTTTTAATATACTCCTTGGAAAACTGAGCACCCCACGCACCATATAATGCAAGCCAGGCAGTACTTCAATTTTTTTTTAAAAATTCATGCAATATCTAGTAAGAAATAATATTTTATAGAATTTCAGTTGAAATACATTTTTTGAAATTCATTTTATTCATTAAGAGAATACTTTAAAGCAATTTGTCTAAGCACTATTAGCAGAGCAGCTGGAGCTGTCAACTCCAACCCTGAGTGTTTGCCCTCAGACACAGCAGGGCGGAGAGGAGTTGTTCAGGCCACTGCCTCCCTCCCTCTGCGTATAAACACATCAGAATAAATTTCTCAGGAGCACCTGCAATTTCCACCAGGGTTGTGTGGCAATAAAGAAACAAGGCATTTTAGAGAACATTTGGCCTTTTGTAGAGCTGTTTCACTAGCCATCTGTTTGTTTTTAAACATTGTTAAATTGAATAAATGGCGCAATATATCCATCAGCATGTACTGTGTGAAGATCTCCATGCAATTTTGTGCATATACTACATGAAATAGACCCTTGAAGGGCTGTGGTTGTGTGGGTGGAGTAGGGGAAGGGGGTCAATTATTACTTGCTCACATCAGCATTAGTAAAGCAACAAGGGTCTGATGGATTCAGTTGGTTTTCCATTAATGTTGATGTTGTGTCTGCTGCTACTTTCAATATGGAAATCAGATCCTCGCATCTACATGGGACCCCTTTCTAATTTTAACACCAAGCTGGTCAACATGTGCAAGCGACATGACCCGATTAGTTTTTATCAGCAACTGAGCTTATGAGGCTGCCAAAACTTATTTTCTGATTAATTTTGGGGCAAGGCTCAGGAGGACAAAAATAATCTATGCTACCGATGTCTAGATTTCCCCACTTCTCTATCAGAAACCACCTCCTTACTTCCCTTGTTGCCAGTTTACACACACACACACACACACCCCACCCACCCCACCCACCCCCAAACTGGATATGGCACTGTCTACATCAGGCCAGCTGTATCTGATCATCCATTCAATGCCATTCAATCTAATTGAATTCTGAGTGTGGTGGCACAGTGGTTAGCACTGCTGTCTCACTGTGCCAGGGATGTGGGTTCATTTCCAGTCATGGCTGACTGTCTATGTGGAGTTTGCACATTATCCCTGTGTCTGCGTGGTGCAGCTGTGCAGGTTAGGGGATTGACCATGTTAAAGATTGTCCTGTAGTGTCCAGGGATGGACGGGTTAGGTGGGTTAGCCATGTTAAAAACCCCTTATGGGGTTACATAGATGGGCAGGGGTGGATCTGGGTGGGATGCTATTCAGAGAATCAGTGCAGACTCGATGGGCCGAATGGCCACTTCCTGCACTGTAGGGATTATGTGAGACTGAAAATGATCTTTCTTGCCATTGGAGTGGGTGAGCTAACAACTTGTTCTGTGTGTCAACCATGAAAATCTAAGACTGACCCATCGTTTGTCAGGAAATGATTAGAGTGACCAGTGCCAGTCTTGTGGACACGGAGAATAAGCTAAACACTGATCAGGCAACCTCACTTGAGTTGTTCACTGGCAGCTTGCCTGTTTGGCTTGTGCCCCCTGTCCACATGACTGGGCTTTCAGACATCCTGACAAATTAAAGGTGGCTTGTATCTCTTCCAGGCAAAGCCACTTTGATTGCATCTAAACTAAACTGATTTTCAAATCTAGAAATCACAGGTATTGGAAGGGCTCTGAGATTTTTAAATGCTGCTTTGTAGATTCTTGTTTGGAGAGGAAGGAGGGAGGTTCTTTTCTAAACAGGGCCAGAAAGGTCTCAAGATAAGTAGGCTGGTACTAGTGGGGAAAGTTGACCAAATTGGTAAATACCATGAACACTGCTTTGAAGATCTGGCTGCAATTAAATAGAAATTTTACAATCTTGACCAGGGCTATTAATGTGACGTTTGCAATTTTCATTTGTGTTGTTCTCTGCTGAATTTAGCTTCACCTATAGTCATAGCATTTAAACGTCATCCCTTTCCTTCCCTTCAGTCTCCTCCAATCACAACAGCACACTTGTTTGAATTCCTGTACTACTCATTGATACACTCTGGCTTTGCCCAACCTGTGTCACCTTTCATCCAAGACCCACATTATTCTAACCTAATATGCAGACATTTCACAAAGCTATTTCTAACAAACCACTTACATTTTTTCTTACAGAAGTAGTGAGACACAATACCAGGGAGCAGTCATGGATCAGAAGGACAACCATTATTGCCCACCCAGTCTACATTGGAGGAAGGGTGCTTATTATTGTAAATTGGAAGCATATGAGACCGTATGGTGCCAATCAAGGCTGAAAGATTCAATCTATTTATAATGATATCTTCGGTTGTTTTATATGCACCATCTAATAGGGCTTTCTGAATCAGTTTCTTTCAAATCTTCAGCTTTCAAAAAAAAAATCAACCTTCCTGGAATGTGGAACCAACAGTTTAGTTTCAGTAGCATTCGCTTGGTTAGTAGGATACAGTTGTAATATGGGATAATTAATAACCTAGGTAAGCCTCTACGTGGAGATATGATGTGGGGCATGCTTTGAAAATTTCAGCAAGGTAAAACACAAATGAAAGGAAGTTGATTTACATATTGGAAACATAATATTTTATGAGTAAGCAAATAGGCTTATTAGCACCTTTTTTTAAAGCATTTGGATGCCCTTAAAGCTTCAGAATTGAGCCACTTTATACAGCGATAATGGTGGGAAGTGGGGTTGGGAGACCCTGTCCTGTTATCAAAAGGTGTTCAGCCTTTTCAGTTAAAACAGGATGTTACCCAGAGTATTCAATTCTAAAATGGCACTAAATTAATACTGGACGCATGACAGTTTACTTTGTAACATGCCCCAAGATTGTGCAATTAAATGCAATTTTTGGGAGTCCAACCATAATATGAAACATTGGCATATTTCATGCTGATGATTACCAGTTGAAAAATAGGAATGTATCAGTTTTCTTTATATTTATTCATGGGCTGTGGATGTCACTGGCTGGGCCAGGACTAGTTGCCATTCCATAATTGCCCTGGAGAAGATGGTGGTGTGCTGCCTTCTTGAACCTCTGTAGGTGGTGCAGGTGCAATCACCCAGTGCTGAGAGAGAGGCGGTGATAGCTAAATAGTCAGTGGAGAAGGAACAACAGTAATGGGAGTGGATGGGAAAAAAGGAAATCAAGAAAACCTGTGACGGGGTGGGGAAGGTGGTGTGGTGATGCACAGGTTTCCCTTATTCAGATGCTTTAATAGTTACAAAGACATGAACAAGGGACAAGAGTAGGAGAAAGCAAGAACTGCATAACTGGAGAGTAGGCCATTCAGCCCGCTCTGCCATTCAATTAGATCGTGGCAGATCTGATTTTAACCTCGATTCTACATTCTTGCATATCCCCAATAATCTTTTATCCCCTAGTCATCAGAACCTACCTCTGCCTTAGAAAAAATTCAAGATTCTGCATAAGGTAAACAAACCGTACGACCTGTTTTACCAACACTGCATTTGTTGGACCGCATTAAAAAGTGGGATCCTTCAGGTTGAAGCCTGGAAGCAGTCCCACTGTGACACAGGTATTTATTTCGCCTGTCACCTTAGTTAGCGGAGGGATATTGGACGTGGTGCCTGGTGGTTCGGCGTAGAATGATGCGGTCTGTTGCTATGCGACGGGAAGTTGCAAATGTGAAACTTTGGCATGAGCGGAAGGGAAGGGGCTGCAGTGTTTGGTACCTGGGCTGGGGGCAGGAGAAGCACAAGGGAACACCACGCTGCAAATTGATTCGTGCTCCTTCAGTTCTTGGTTTAATTTGATTTAAAAATCTTTCAGCCCTGCCACCCTCACTGCTTTAAAAATAATAGCAAAGATCTCGGTTATAATTCACCTGTTCTCAGAATGGAAAGGCAGAGGCCGGGCGGAACACCGAATGTAAGCACTGCTAAAGAAATACTGAACTGACAGTGGGGTGAGTGCTGCCTCTGAGTGTTTAGTAAGTATTTCCACCTTTTTCGTCATTCTTTCACAGGACGATTCTGGCGAAGCCGTGGAAGAGCTTGACAGTGACGCCGCTACAGACGATGGCGCTGAAGATCCAATGAGGCCAGCCAGTGTCCCAGGAGAAAGGACACCAGAGCCTGATCTGAGCGAAGCCTCCCCCTCAGAAGAGTTCGATCAGGCTGCCCTACCAAGCAGTACAGAGCTCAGCACGGTGTTGGGTGAGAGTCTCACCAGCTCACATGACAAGAAATACCCTGCTTCCTCGTCTCGCCTTGTTAAATTCACTGTTACTCTGACGCTGGCCATTCCGGAAGGTAAGGTGATTCAAAGTCATTTAAACAGTGAGAATATTACAATGTCACTCGCCATTTCAAACATTGTATGTATTCTGTTGATCGTTTATCGGCGTCAAAAATCATGAATTACTTATTAAAATTAAATTATTTTTTTAATCCAAATAGTTCCAGCCGTTTAAAATTTCTGAAAACGCTGAGTGGGAGCTGCACAAATCAAGGACTGCCAAATTCACCTGCTGTAACTTTTCCTTCTTGTTATCAGAGCTCCAGCTTTATGTCTTAAAACAAGTTGTTTTAATAGTTTACCGTTAAGTAGTTTGGAAAATCTTTTGGACTCGATTAAGAAACATATGATCGAATCACATGTTTTCAGAAAACAACGTTTTCATGAATTACCAGGGCTTGGTTGTGAACTTATTTGTGATTCACAGCTTCTTCACACGTCTGCCTTGTTCAAAATGCCAGTACCCCCTTATCCAGTTGCATCTTTTAATTTTAATGTGGCCAATGTTCCAGAAAGGATAAAAAAATTACCATTGTTGATATTAGTAGACAAATATTTAATTAAAAATCAATTTTTGCTATTTTAATGAAGATGTCTTATTATAATGGCAAAAAAGATTTTACCTATGTTGCCAACAATAATTAGTGCAAAATAAACCGCTAATGCAAAAAGGCACAAATACATATACATGTCACAATTTATGTGCAGCAGGCAGAGAATCATTCGTTATGCCATGATTTGCAAAACAAAAATGGACCAAATTTAGCACTGACTTGTCATGACTGCTAAATTAATATTTTATATCTGTAGAACTGAGGTAACGCAACAATCTTTGTATGGGAATATTTCACCCTACATCTCCAATTTCATTAGTGGTGATATATTATTTAAATTATTATTGTTTCTAATCAGATAGTGACATTTGTGCCTACCGAAAATGTCTTGGGGAGAAAAGCACCCAAACAATGTGGCCTTATTTATAGATTTACCCTTCATTTTCAATTGTGTTTACGATCAGTACATCGACAATTCCATACATTAGCAGCTCCTGTATAGAAATATCACAGTGGGAACCATACACCTGTTGCTAAACCCTGTTGTGGTTTATGTTGTTTAACTTTTTATATTTGTAGCGCAACATGTTTTGTGGTAATAATTGTCTTTGGTAACTTAAAATTATGGAACATATATTTCCTAGGTCTTGAGGGTGGCGGAAAGAACTTGCTCGAAAAGTCCAAATCAATGAAGTCATTGGAAGCATTAAAACCTCTCAAATATTATCATATCGAATGGACCCTTCTCCCAAATGGTGAAGTGACAAAACTCGATATAGTGACCTTTGCGACAGCGGCAAAAATCTATATGGGAATAGACAGCCAGGTAAGTTCTTTTTTCTAAAGTCAAATAAGCATTATCAATTCAGGAAGAATGCAAAGGTACTTATGAGTGAAAGATGGAATTCCATGTTCATCTTATACTCTTGATGAAGTTTTAAATCCTTAGAAAAAATGAAAGATCTGTACAATTTATAGCTGCAGGCTACATGCTCATTGTTACAGCTCCTCATGCCCAATTCCATTGTCTGACTCTGACTAATCAGTCCACTACCTTCTGCTGGTTGTTAGCTCATTCTAGATCTCTTCAATCTGTAACTCCAGCTACCCAGTTCTTCTTTCTCATTTTGGGGTCATAAAGTTATACAGCATGGAAACAGACCATTCGGTAGAACTCATTTGCACCAGCCAGATATCCTAAACTGATCTAGTCCCATTTGCCAGCATTTGGCCCACATTCTTCTAAAACCTTCCTATTCATATACCCATCCAGATGCCTTTTAAATGTTGTAATTTTACTCAACCCCACCACACCTCTGCAGCTCATTCCATACACCTCTGTGAAAAAGTTGCCCCTCAGATCCCGAATAAAATTTACTCTTCTCACCTTAAACCTGTGCCCTCTAGTTTTGCAGTAGGTCAGCCCATTCTTAATTATTGCTTCCTTTTATCATTGTCTGCTCCAATGTAAGACACCAGGCACTCAGTCCCTTATTAGATGATCTTTATTACTTCATAACACGAACATAATAGGAGCAGGACTAGATCATGATGAAAACTTTTACTGAGACTGTGCCCTCTGGTCCTAGACTCTCCCATGAGGGGAATTGTCCTCCCAGCATTTTCCTTGTAAAGCCCTTAAGAATCCTATATGTTTCAATGAGATCACTTAAACCCCAGTGAGTAGAGCCCAACCTTGTTCAACCTGCTCCATACAGGGGATCATTCTCGTAAACCTTCTCTGATCTGCCTCCAATGAAATGATATCGTTCCTTAAATAAGGGGATTAAAAGTGCCCAGAAGTCATCTCACCGGTACCTTGTACGTTTTCAGTATGACTTCCTACTCTTAAACTCAAAGATCATGGTTTAACCCCACCTTCTTACCCACTGTTCATATCATGATCCCTATCAGTGGAGAAAGATGCAGATTGTCAATTTGAATTCCAAGCTACGTCCTGCATTTTGAAATGTTTCCAGATATGACTCCTCCCACTAAACATGATTAATATAGGCTCCCACTGAGCAGCATGTCCAGAACCTCTTTTCCACATAGAACAGTTTTCCCAGGATCTTTCTGTCACGGGGAAGCAGGCCCATTTCCTAAACTTGAACCAATCAGGTTGTCCTCCCCGGCCAACAATCCCACCACCAGGGAGCTGAGCCAAGAAGCTCAGCCACTGGTATTCAACAAATTGATATCTTATTAAGACTCGAATAACACATTTGCTATCATATAATCTCTAAACTCAGCTGCTGAACAGCAATCCAGATGTTCCTGTGCAAACTGAACATAAGTCATTCCCATCATTTCCCCATCTTCCCATTATCATCAAAAAGTTATAAAAATATACAGTTTTACTATGAGATGTAATTAAGGTATATTTAAAATGATTTCTTCCATTACAATATATTGTAGGTTCTGAAGCCATGGTATGATGGTGATCAAATGTGGTTGGTCTTCAGTCATAGTGTGGAGCTGCCAGTCTCTAAAGAAACACTGTTAAAACTTGGTTCTTATGTGATGACACTTCATATATGGGACAGTAAGGATAAAGTCAGCTCCAAGGCAAAGTTTGATCGGTCCAAGCCTTTGCGTATTTTCATGGAGAACAAAAATATAGGTGAGTAGGAGGCGTGAAATGTTCTGCAGTTTGAACAAATCCAATAAATAATTAATGAAAGAACTGCAGATGCTGGAAATCAGAAGCCAAAACACAAATTGCTGGAAAAACTCAACAGGTCTGGCAGCATCTATGGAGACAAAGCAAAATTAACATTTTGGGTCCAGTGACCCTTCAGAATTGCAGCTAAACGTTAATTCTGCTCTGTCTCCACAGAAGCTGCCAGACCTGCTGAGTTTTTGTAGCAATTTCTCTTTTTTGTTTCCAATATATAATTATTTCTTTTTAATGGAAGACCACATTTGTCAGAAAAAGTTCAAGTCACTGAACACGAAAAACAATGTAATTTGCTGTAATGCTATCATTATTAGTGCTGTTATTAATATGTGAATGCTCTAATTAATGTGCAGGATCTAGTAGTCCATTTTAAATTCTAAATACCTGAAATCTCATGATTCTAGTGAGGTGGCTGTGTTTAAAAAATAGGCTGGACCTTAACACTATCAAAGATAAAATATTTTATTTGTTAGCTAAAGTTTCATTGCAATTAATAAAATGAGTGAAAAATGACCAAATGGTGGGACAGTAGACAGGCCTAGCAACATACTTTACCTTATAGTGAAAATTGCTTCTTAGCTATGCCTTCAAAGTAGTCACAAAATCAAGGGTAAAGAACTCACTGGAAAATATATCAGTTAGATTTTGCATTTCTCATTTTCTCCTCTGTGTATGGAAAAAAGTTCTCTGTTTCATATTTTGACAGAAAATTTGTCAGGGCAACCGTTGTGTTTTTAGATGTATTTTGGTAAATGAACAGGGCATACACTATCATCATTATTGTAATGTGTGCATAAGGACTCATCCAACTGATTAATCTTTCTTTTGGCAGATGAGGAAAAACATTTGGTTCAGGAGCAGTTGAAACTGTTAAAAAATAGTCCCCTCTTGACAACCTATAAAGAAACCAATCATATATACCCGAAAGATCTCTCTCAAATCCTTGGAGAAGGTAAGACTCAGATGATACAAAATGTAGTGCTTGATGCTGGCTGGCATACTTAAGCAAAATAAGAGATAAGAAGGCCCAGCATCTATCATAATTTCCATTTAGTCCATGGAAATTGCGAAGCTGATTTTTAAAAAACGTAGGGTTATGGGGTTTTTTTTTTTGCAACTGATGGAATGTTAGGTAGCATTTCATTTCAATTTTTGTTTAAATTCAATTTTATATAGAATCTGTTGTGGTTCACCCTATACGGAATACTTCTGACATGTAGTCACTACTTTACTTTATTGTAGGGAATCCAACAGCCAAAAGATAGCTACTAAGACCCCACAACAGCAATTATTTTGATGACCAAATATTCTGTTTTATTGATACTGATTGGGTGATAGTTTGCTGGAGCACCAGGAAAACTACCCTGTTCTTTGAATAGTGCCAAAGGATCTCATACATCCACCTAAGAGAGTAGAACTCAAATTATAATTTATCTTTTACATTCCTGGTCAGCCCAAATGGCCGTACAGGAAACCAATGGTAGGAGACTATAACTGGACGCTCTTGGGGATGATTCCTAGTAAACAAGAAAAACAGCATGTCAGTAATTAGAGCGGATGGGAAAGATGGAGGTTTCAGCTACAATTACAGTGTGTGGGATGTCTGGTATTTGAAGGTTGGAGAATGGAATGAGATATGGTGGAGGGATAAAGCAAGGACATCCGAGTTGAGAGTGGGTCAAGGTAGTAATTATGGCAGTGGGAAGAGGGAGGCTACAGTTGCTTGAGGAGGAGCCAAAGGCTTTTTCAAGATGCTGGGAGGAACCCTATAAAATCTTTGGCTCACAAAGTAAAACGCAATTACTGTGGTTGGTTTGCTCGCCAAGCTGGCTCGTTAGTTTGCAGATGTTTCATTACCCTGCTGGGTAACTTCATCAGTGCAGGCTCCGATGAAGGGGTCCAGTGTCTAAATACCAGGTGGGAAAACACGACAGTGCTTCATCGGATGCTGCACTGATGAAACGTCTGCGAACTAACGAACCAGCTTGGTTAGCGAACCAACCACAGCATCTACAATCTGAGCTATAAATCTACTCAAGAACCTTAAAACGCAATTAGTTTGTCAAGCCGATAGCTCCTACTTCCCTTTTCCCTGTCAAGCCTCTTAACCCCATGTAAATAGGGTTGTAAATTGAACAGTGCAATTCTCTTTTAAATATATCAACTACATTTTCCACCTCTCCATGGGAGAATACTTGTTACTTTGCTGATTTTAGGTGATTTGAATCACTCCCAGATTCCTGGTTCTAGACACTGGACTTATTTAGGGAAGAAGGGTAGACTGGTGTTTCAGGACAAAATAATCTGTGTTTATTCACAGTACAAAAGATAAGTGCAATACAAGAAATAAAGATAAACGTAATAAACAGTGAAATTAACAAAATCAATTATATAAAGGACAGTAATACAATTAAACACACTATTAGCTATGTTATGCTTTATTAGAACTTAAAACAAGGGTTTTAATCACAAAGTTTAATCAGGCTCCCTACCCTTGTGGTCCCACGTACTGTCCCTGCCCACCTTCCCCTCCTTGCTATCTAGGTCAGAAACATTGGGGTCTCTGGAATTTAAGCTCACCACTGAGGAAAACTCAGTTTTTAAGCGTGCCCAGTTGCAGAGGTTCTTCCCATTTACTGTCTTGGTTTGGAACAGGTCCGTGTCTGAAAGTTCTTGTTCAGATTGCGCTTGGTTGGCTTCCCCTCTCTCGGATGACATTTGTTCTGATGATGCTTTTGGATTGGCTTCCTGATTCAGTTTCTCTGTTCGGCCTCTGTGTTCTTGGCTCTGAAGCTGCTTCTTGGGGGTGGAAGCCTGTGGGCATAGAAGCTTTTTGAAGAAACGGCTCTCCCTTCAGGTGAGATCAGGGCTAGCAGTTATACTGACTGTGTGTCCTGTTATCTCCCTCCACATCTGTGTTGTCTGTTGTTTTTCTGGTGCTTCCTTCTGAAGTTGATTGGTTTTCCAATCATTTAAGAGTTTATGTGAATGGATTTTGATTGAAGTTGAATGTCTGGTATCTCTGTAGACCCCATACTGTCTGTGTTGGGTAGCCCGAGGTGTAGAAGCTGTCTTGGACTCCAAGAGTCCAGGAGTCTGTTTCAGTTGATTGTTCTTTTAGCGTGGAGGTGTCAGTTGGAATTCCAGGCAGAGCAGTGGTTCCAGACAGACATCTCAGTTCTGTGAGTTGTGTTTGTGTACTCTCCACAGAACTCAACTCATCCCAGCGTCCATTTACCTTTTAAAAGTTTTGAAAAGTCTAGGGTCTTGTCTAGTATTTTGGATGAAGGGGATTTTTGCTCATTCCTACACCAGTTAGCTAACCTGACGACAATTGGAAGCACAGATGTCAGGCAAGGGGATGGCCTCTGAAGCCACTCCACTGCCCTTATTTCCAATATTCCTGATTTTTCTTTCCCCACCCCCCCCTTCCCTAGCACTCCCCTCCCCACAAGAATAAGAATGACATTCAGCTTCTCACCATTGGATTCCCTGAGGAGTAGGCCTCAACCAGTAGATTTTAGGACCTGGAAGAGAGACTGGCAACCAGAGTCTCTAGCACTGAGGCCTGTGATTGGGTGCGACGCATGCCTTTGCTCGCCTGTCAGAGTAATTGAGTCAGTTCTCTTACCAGTGGGAGTGGTATGTTAGTTACCACCTAACATGCTTTCTCCCACACTTAGGTGGAATTTTGCCATTGTTTTTCTAATACAACTTGTTTCCAATGTCAGTTCCAGGTGCTGTTGCTCACAAAGCTATTTTTTTTTTTTAATCATCATCTCTGTTACACCAAAACATATTCAGAATGGGTACTATTCCAGAAAAGAAAAGTACTGGAATCTGAGTACTTCAGCCCCTTATTTAACATTATTAGTCATATATTTTAAAAAAAGAATAGAGATTAAGGGCACTGACCTAAGATCGCCAAACCTTTGGATTGTCCAAGGTTTTCTAGAAGTAGGAGGTTAATCTTCAGTACTACTCCAAGCAACCATGAGAAAAATCATTGGGACAGTAAAAAAGGTAATTTTTTTTTAAAAAATAGGCCTTAAACAATTTTGATAATTAGTTTTAAAAAATTAGGAAAAGAAACTACAGTACTGGGCAGAGTACTTGGAATTGGAAGTTCATGTGATGAAACCGGCAAGGACACTTCCAACCGGACCTGATACTGATCTACAATCTGAAAAGCAATTAAAATTATTCTGTTAATGAACTTGCCAAGTGTTTATAGAAATTTTCTTAATGAGAGAGAATTTCTGCAGGTCATCTCTTGATTGTCTGCTGCTCATTTGGCAACTCTGCAGAAACTCTGGAGAAGTAAGGTTTCCACAGAGTGTCCAGCATGAATTGGGAAAACCTGTGCAAAAATTCATAGTTTGTGTGCACAAGTGTACAGAGTTGTACTTTAGCAGCAGAATAATAAGTTGTGTTACGTGGTATGCGACACTTGTTGCCAGAATGTGGAATCATAGAATCCCTACATTGTGAAATGTAGTGAATCAACCAATGGTGCGCAAGAAAAGGGAAATGCATCCATTAGACACCACCTCCTCCATGTTCTGTCTTTATTGTCTGAGGGTTGTTAGTGCCATGATATCACATTGGGCAAGGCAAGGAGCTAGAATGCAAGAAGTACTTCAATTGATACAGGGACTGAACTTGTTTTGTTGGCATTATTCTGCACCACACAACAGCCATCAAATCCAGGTGTCGCCATTTTTAAGGCCCCGATACTGTGCCTGGTGCCTCCTTGTGGTGGAGCCAGTGTTGCATGAGCTGCAAGAAGGGCTGCCATTACTGGTAGAGCATTAACTTAAGAGCACAACCTGAACCAGGACAATTGGATGTGACAGAACTTTTATGTAAGAACAAAACATTAGGTGTGTGTGTGCATGTGGATTGGAGGCCAGAGAGGGGGCAAAAAAATGGGAGGATGAACAGGATGAAGGCTCAGGATGGCAGTGATCTGGGTGTTGAAAAGGAGCACTCATGCTGCCCTTCACAAGAGGGCATTCAGAGTTGACTACAACAGAGGCAGCTGGCAGCATTGCAACTACCCCAAGGAGTATGCAAATCTATCAACTTCGCATGAAATTCTGAAAGGATTTAAAGCAGGATAATAATCGCAGCAGGAAATCTGACTTTTTGACCATAAGATTGGAATTCCTGATGCTTTCAGACACCAACATTAAGAAGTTAATAAATCTACCATTGAAGGAAAATGTTGAGCAAATAAAGTAATTTCAAATATTTAATACTGTGGTTTGAGGTGACATCTACATTTTATGCATCTGAAAATGTGCTGGTAAAAGCATTTATGGCACTAAAACCTATAGTAAAATAATCTGAGTAAAGACTTAGCATATGTATAGCTTTGCATTTTTTTCAGTAAAAATCCTGAAAATGATTTCCTTGTCAACCCTTCTTTAGTTTCAGAAATTTTGGTCATGGTTTTGGAATAATTAATTTGATATGTCATTTTGAATTTTAAATTTTGAACTTTTGTTTTTGTGAAAGTGGGTGTTCAATGTGCATAGTATTATTGCTCATGTTATTTTCTCTCTATTTGTCTTTATTATCACATTGCAGGCATCGTGCTACAGCTGAGTCTTTTGCCTGTCAGCATTTATTTCTGCTTTAGCCTGTGTGTAGAGACCATAGAAGTTTTTTTTTCTTGTGTCTCTGCACTTAGTGTAAGGTGTCCTCACTGAACTGTTACCTTCTCTAATACCAGCACACATTAGGAACCCCCACCAAGCCTAGTGTTTCAAAGCCCAAAAATGCCTTCAGTGCTGTTAACCTCACTGACCTCTTCAGTAACATAAAAATGTAGGACTCCCTACGTTGCTTCCAATTTCAGCTCCCCACTTGCTGCTAAACCTCAAGACTCTAATTCTTCCTCATCTCTTTGAATGTGTCTAAACAGTAGGCTATGTCCAAGTGCTTCAAAATGTCACTAATTCCCCCAGTGCTGTAGATCTATGTCCTCGCAGAGAAGTGACAAACCCACATTAAAGCTCCATCTAGCCCCATTCCATTAAGTGGTAACAGATATTCAAGGCTCAGCCTGACTGCTTCTTAACCTCAGACTTTTTCTTCCAGATTCCCTCTTTAAGAGTATTCCCATCTGGAAGCTCTCTGCAAATTCCCTTGCAAGTCCTGGTGTTCTAAGAATACTGCCTCCATTCTTCTCGCACCTTCTGGTTCATTGTATAGTCTCTGCCCTCCGGCCTATACTGCCTTCAACCCATCAATGACAGCCTGTATCTGGTTGGTATACCCTGGTACCTGCTGTTAATCATGTTGTGTTGAACACTTTTTTTTAAACTGCATTGACTCTTTTCTCTAAATTCTTTCTGTAATGCTGCACAGGTCCTGTTACCTCATCAGACCAAGCCAATATTGAACATTTAGAACCTGCCAGTCATGTTCAACAACAACAAAGGTAAATTAGACATCCACTTTCTTTAAAGATTATTGTTGAATATGCATTGGACAATAAAGACACCAAAGACAGATTTCTTTATCACCATGAAAAAATAATTTAATATTGAAATGAACTTTGTTTGTCTTATAAGCAGTTGAACTGTGTTACACTACCACAGTACTTTGGGCTTGGCTTTAAATGTTTTACACCTGCACGGTAGGATTTGATTGGACGAACAGGGATGTTGCCCTCGGGTCAGGGAGCCAGTGGGGAACCTCTGTTAATTTCACGGGGGAGGCCCAAAGGAATAAAGTGCCTACCATGAGGCCTTCCCTTGGATTCAGGACCCTGATGGCAGACATTCTGCACAGCAACAGTAGCTAGCCACTCAGAGGCTGACAGCTCTTTATTGTTGTCAGCACCTTTGGGAGCAGTGTCAATTGCCAACAATGCATCCACCAAAGGCCCAGGATCACTGACAATATGCAAAAATGAGTGAATGTGGGATTAGGATAACAGAAGCGGTGGGGGTAAAAGGTTTGGAGTCCAGCCAAGAGGTGGATTCCAGTGGTCTCCTCTCCAGTGATCGGTGGTCAGGTCCCATGTTTGGTGCAGAGTTCCTGATAACAAGGGACATTACCTGGGAAACTGTTGGCAACTTGTGGCCTGTAGGAGGCTTGATAAAACTGTATGACCTCAGATAATCACTGAGTCAATACTGAATTGTAGCCTGCTCTGGGATAATCAGCTCATTTGCGTCCCTCATTAATAGGCTGCCACTAGTAGCCAGGAATCCCATGTCAGCGTCCTCTGTCCCCGACTTAATGAAGCAAAGTTTTGCTGCTGCCAGGGGATTAATGCAGGGCCTCTCCCACAATTAGCTGGCACTGATGGTATTGCTCTCACCACAAAGAGCTGGATTAAGTTATATCGATAGAGTTAAATTGTCAAAATGATTGGCTGAAGAACTATAATTTATGCTCAGAGAATAGTAATTGTAAATTGACATCAGCGCTCACTAAGTAACAAGAGGGAGTTTTCAAACAAAGACCATTACCCAAAGACAAAAGCACAAACATGAACTGTATTCAAAGCATAACACGTGTAGTGACTGTAACAAGGTCAGCCAGGTGGACCTCATAGGATAGTTCTCTGATTGGGACTGCTAATCTGGTCCAGTGAAGGTGCCCTGTCTGACAAATATAAACAGGAGTGTCAGACATCCTGTTCATTCTGCGAGCTGGATCAGTGTCAAGGACTCTCCATGTGTAAATAAAGGGTGACTTGGTGACGGAATATCAGCCTCTCTGGAATTACTTCAACATACAAATCTGACATGTGTCTCTGTACTGTGACTGGTACCTGGTCTTAATTAATCTGAGAAAATTATAAAGAATCTATATCAGAGTTATTTATATGATGCTAGGAGGTATATGCAGAAAAATATTCTAAACGTCAGTAATTCAAATGATGATTTGAAAAGGCCACTTTACTGAATATACCTCAGCACCAAAAGCAACAGATCTCAAAGATGCCTAGGAAGCATCCAACATTCACTTAATTGTTTGAGATTAATGTTTTGTTGAATTACAAAATGTGTCCTGATAGTGTGGAGCCTCTGCTGTTGGCTGAATGTATTGTAAAATCATAAGCAGGCTGGCAAATGTCCTGCTAAACCTAATCCGAAGTTATGGCTGGAGTTTTCTGAAATGGCCAAGCAATTTCAGGATCAATGTCTTAAATAATTTGCCAAAGCCGATGCAGAATATAAAACAGTATGAGCGTATAGAATTCACTTCTTAATATTTTGTGTTATAGCCCAGAACTCAACTTCTGGTAATACTGGCGAGATTTTCTCTGAAGGCTTTTATACAGGAACATAGGAATATGTGAGTTGGAGTTGGCCACTTCACCCTTCCAACCATATCTGCCATTCTTGATAATGGGTGATCATCTACCTGAGGTGTGGAGACCCACCATCGTCAACTTTGCCTCTATCTTTCCTCCTTGCTCCCAAGTGACAACATTAAACCAAAATGGTGTTGTGCACACCTCCCTGTGGAGGCCCCGGTGATGGTCACTGCAATAATCTCTCTCCTGCAGTCGACAGTGCCCCCATACTGTTCCATGTGCCATCCTTACAGCTCGATTATTCTTCCCCTAACCATCCTTGTCTCCACCTCAATGTGTGGCGCTGCTTTCATCCCCTGCCCCAGGCTTGATTGCCCCACCTCCTCTTGGCAATAAGCCCCCTCTTTGCATCTAGAGCCCACCTTGCTCCATCCTCAATGGTCAAAGTGTGAACTTCCAGGACCGCATTTGTTCCAGACCCCAGACTTCAAAAAACAGACCCCAAACATACTCACTAAATCCCTCAGTGTGTTGCAACTTCCTGACTGATGATTCCCCTGATTGCTTGTGATGCCTATAAAGGACTGCTTGTTGGCAATTCCCTAGATTGTGTTTGGACATATCCCCTGGCCTGTATGGAGAACCAACCTTGGTCAAGCCCCTCAACTGTGTGCAGACTGTGCTTGTGATTAATGGTCTGAGGTCCACTTTCTGACATGGCCATTATATTGCATAAATGCGCAGTGTGTTTGCTACTTGAGCAGCTGCCACATGCTGTAGGCTTACATTGTGTTGTACACTGAGATATGTTCTGTTTTCTTTCCATTATTTGAGCAGTGCCTTTCATTTACATGCTTCTGAGACATGCCCTATGTTTCAGTCAGGCATCATGCACAATTAAAAGTTGCATGAATCAGTATGGTGTCTGTTGAACATTCCATGATCATGCCTCAAATCCAAAAATCTAATGCCAACTGTATTATTTAGCTCTTTGGCTGAGTTTATTGTTTGTGTCCTTACGAATACTTGCAGAAAGTAATTGTTCACAATTATTTGCAGGAATTGTGCCAGGATGTTTTTGTGTAGACCATCTGAAGTAACTTGTGATTCATTCTCACTAAACTCATGTGATGTTCAGGAGCTGCGATGTGTTTCATGGTGGTCTTCACATTAATTTAGTGATCAATTCCCTCTGAACTCATTTTTGCTGCTACAGCAGTTTAATGTCTTGTCATCTACCTTTAGGAAGCAGATGAGCGTGCATTGTTTTTGTGCTAAGCAAGAGGTGGAAAAACATGGAAAGCAAGATGGCTGTGTTAAGCAATGACATGATTAAGGTTCAACTGTGCGGTTTCTCCTATTATTTGGCAGATGACAGACATTTAATATACAATATCCACTATTCGAAATTTGTCATAACATTGCAAATTATATGTTATAAGGATGAATGTTGCAGAAGTTATCTGAAATAGTAATAGGTTATAACTTGTCAAAAGAAGGGTGCTGGTACCTTAAAAATCAGTAAATAACGCAATTAATCCTAGTCATGATTTCAGCTTCAAAGGATGCATTTTTTGATATTTATCATAACTGTGTGATGCAAATTTGTTTCTAATGTCCATTACAATGTGCAATAGTTCATTGTCATGATACTATAATGTGCAGTAAATATTCAACCAAATTAATTCATCCCCAATAAATAAGCTTATTGGATTTTAGTAAATTCATCCAATTGTCATGTGATTGCTTATTCAGTGAGAAAGAGCCATGTGCAGACTTCAGACCAAGTAAAGTAAAGAAAAAAAAGATTTCAGCACTACAGACACCTACAAAGGGAGCTTCTCACAAAAAACAAACAGGAGGTAAGTGATGGTTATATCTTGCCATTTAAGTTATCGAAAGAAGACTTGGGGTAATTTTCATCCCCACAGGGAATGGTGGATGGTGAACATGAAGAGAGTGACCACTGAACAGAGGAGTTAGCATGGGAGAAATCTGCATTTCTGCATCCCTTCACATTTTCAAGTGTCCTGCCAATGTGGAGCAAGCTCTGCATCTACATCTTACCAATAAGATATGGAAAATGTATGTTGCTGTAGGTCTTAACACGCTTTTAACATCTTAAAGAAGTGTTTGTTTGTGACTAAACCAGGGAAAAAAAAAGAAGTACCATGGATCTGAAGGGAAAGCTCTGTGGCCAGCATGAATTCCAGGATGACTTCAAGGTTTTCAAATACAGTCTTGGAGGTGCCAGTGAAATATATTAGCAATAGAAAGGCATTTCTCTTTCCAGCAGATGATTGGCAGGCAGTGGAAAATTAGTTTATATGTTACATACACATGCAATTAACAGTTTCTCCAGGATCTGACCACAGTGATGGAAGAAGTTTAATAATCTTACGGGAAACTCCAAGGTAGGACTCCCTTTCACATCAACTTTACTGGCTGCACAACCCTGGAGAACTCTCTCTTTGCCTTGGCACTTTCGCCTTCCCTTCCCTACTTGTTATAACTTTGCATTAGTTAGCAAAGAAAACCTCAATTCAGCTGCCTTCTGCCAGGATTCAAGCTTTCAAATGCCACTACTGCCTCCACAACGTCTCCATTTAGGCTACCCACCATGCTTCTTCCTGTTATCATTTACACTACAGTAATAGATTCATGTATGTCAAAAACACTTGGCTAAGACACTTGCACTTTCCTTGTACAAGAACCTGAAACACTAAAGGGAGGTCAACAAACAGGATAGGAGGAGGCCCTGTCAAATATTCATTAAAAGGCCACCATCAGTATAATTGCAAGACACACAGTTTCCACCATCAAATATTGGGAAACTGGAGGGACCTTTCCTTCATATTTCTCTTCTGCTTAACTCTTTCAGACACATCCTAAATGCAATAATGTGGAGATACATTGACCTGCTATTGCTTTTCCTTGCAATTACATCCTACCCTATACCGTCTCCTTGTTTCCTATGTCTAATAGATTATCAATTCACTAGTCCCTAACGGTCTGGGAATAAAACCCAAGAGATCACTGACCGTGAACATCTTATCAGCTCCTATATGAGCCATAACAACCACCTTGCTCCCCTGTTGCAGCCAGTGGAGACACTATCTTAAAAGTACTACGTGAAGCACCAGAATAGCCAGAAGAGTATTCAAACAGGCACAAAGGTCTTGCACCAGGATGAGGAATAGCTCATAGGCCTTTCTATAAGTCAGTAGAAGCTGGGCCTACAATGCAGAATTGACCTGCACTCAAAGTGATGCAAGCACCATGCAAATATTATGCAACCTGTATTTTATGATTGTGGCATGGAGCCCAACACTAATTGTATCACTGACTGTGACTGCATGCCTTAGTTTGGGTCCCAGGTTTGTCTAAGGCTAGTACCAGTTAATGCTGTTCAGCACTAAAGCTGTACAGCACCTGTTTGATGATGGTTAACATGGACTATTGATATTCAAGTTCCATCACATGATTTATTTTATTCTTTTATGGGATGTGGGCTTTTCAAGTTAGGTGAACATTTGCTTTTCATCCCTAATTACCCTGGACAAGGTGGGGATGAGCTCCCTTCTTGAACTACTGCAGTCCTTGGCATGTAGGGAAACCAACGATGCTGTTAGGAAGTGAATTCCATCATATTGACCTAGCGACAGTGCATGAAGGCAATGAAGTTCTACATCATAATGGGGTGTGACATGAAGAGGACCTTGCAAGTGGTGATGCTCCCATTGCATCTGTTTCTCCTTGTCCTTCTAGGTTGTACAGGTCTTTGGTTTGGAATTTTAATACCTGAGATCTTCATGGACTAAGGTGATTTTTAAAGAGGACAAATACAACATTCTTGTATGTTTTCTTGGTACTCTCTCCCAAGCAATTATGTTCTTGTAATGTGGTGACCAGAACTGTACACACAATTCCAGCTGTGACTTAAACTATTGTTTTATACAGTTTCAACGTTACATTCTTGATTATATATTCTATATTTCATCCAATAAAGGGAGCATTCCATGTACTTTGTTTACCACCTTAACTACTCTTTTCAGGGGCTTTTGGGCATGCACTCCAAGGTTGCTTACTTCCGCTACCCCTCTCAATATCCTCCCGTTTATTATGTATTCCCTAGACTTGTTTGCCCTGCCAAATGCATTATCAGACAATCTGGATTAAATTCCATTTGCTATTTTTCCACCTAATCAACCAAGCCATTGATACATTCATAGTCGACAGCTATTCTCTTCACTCATAACTACACCGTCAATTTTTGTGTAATCTACAGGTTTCCCAGGTGTGTATCCCACTTGTAAGCCAAAATCATTAATGCACACAACAAACAACACTCGACCCAAAACTGAGCCCTATTGAATGCCAGTGGAGACTGCTTCCCATATACATCTAAATTCATTTTTGTCCTGTCACTCACCCAACTCTCCATATACCTCTGTATATCTTGGGCTTTTATTTTCTTCCGACCTGTCTGCCATTTGGGACCTTGTCAAATGCCTTACTAAATGCCCATTGTAATTAAAATTCAATTAAATTAATAAGGAACTATCTCCCCTTAACAAAACCATGCTGACACTGCCTGAGAATCCAGGCCTAAGTGACAGATTTTCCCTGTCTCAGTATTGATTCCAATGATTTGCCCACTACTGAAGACAGACTGACCAGCCTGTAATTGTGTGGCTTATCCCTTGCGCCTTTTTTAAAGAATCGCAGAATGTTTACAGACCTCCAATCCTCCGCTATCTTGTCTGTATTTCTCTTTTACCTCTTGTTTGTACTACAGACCTCCTAGTTTTTTAAAATAAATAGTTACTTATGCGTGCATTTGATGTCACATTTTATTTGTTTTTCCCTTGGGTTTAATGAATAATAAAATCCCTCTTCTTTCACTCATGTAAACCTTGGAATTGGCTCCTTCATTTGATCTAGTTAGTTAAGTTTTAGTTGAAGTGTAATAGTCATGTGCTAAAAAGAGAAATAAATATATTTATTGCTGACTAAGAGGGTTTTAAAAAGAGGGGAGCTGATTTCCCTTCCTCCTCTGGTTGTAGTGCCCCGCTTAAAGGTATTCTAGCTTCAGCAGGGTGCTAGAACTGATCGAAGAGGGGTTGAAGAAGCTGCAGAAGTGGCACAACAGGCCCGAGAGTTTTCTCTGTGCCTCTCTGCAGCACTGGAGGTAGTGAAGGAGAGCAGTGAGTGCATCATCACTTACCGTATCCTGCTGATTACATCACTTGCCACACACACTGTCTAATTCACTACAGCCTCATCACTCAACTACAAACATCTATCAACTCTGAGATGTCACACTTGTAGCCTAACAACAGCTATTTTTAAAAATTCATTGATTGGATGTGAGTGTTGTTAGCTAAGACAATATTTATTGCTGTCGAGAAGGTACTGATGAGCTGCCTTAGAGTCACAAAGATACGTAGCATGGAAGCAGACCCTTAAGTCGAACTCATTCATGCCGATGTCAGACTCACTGACCTATAGTTACCTGGCTTTTCTTTCCCACCTTTCTTAAATAGTTGCACCACATTAGTCAACCTCCAATCTTCCGGCACCTCACTTGTGGCCATCAATGATACAAATATCTCAGCAAGGAGCCCAGCAATCTCTTCCCACAGAGTTCTAGGGTACACTTAATCAGGTCACAGGGATTTATCCACCTTGATGCGTTTTAAGACATTCAGCACCACCTCCTCTGTAATATGAACATTTTTTTCAAAATGTCACTATTTATTTCTCCATGTTCTATATCTTCCATATCCTTCTCCAGAGTAAACATTGATGCAAAATACTTGTTTAGTATCTTCCCCCATCTCCTGTGGTTCCACGCATATGCAGCCTTGCTGATTTTTAAGGGGCTCTATTCTCTCCCTAGTTACCCTTCTGTCCTTCATGTATTTATAGAATTCCTTTAGATTCTCCTTAACCCTCTTAGCCAAAACTATCTCATGTCCCCTCTTTGCTCTCCTGATTTCCCTCTTAAGTATACTCCTACTGCCTTTATACTGTTCTAGGGAATCACTCGATCTCTGCTGTCTATACCTGACATATGTTGCCGCCTTATTCTTGACCAAAACCTCAATTTCTCTAGTCATCCTGCATTCCCTACACCTACTAGCCTTGCCCTTCACCCGAACAGGAACATACTCTGTTTGGACTCTCCTCTCCTCTCATTTTTGAAGGCTTCCATTTTTCAGCCATCCCTTTACCTGTAAATATCTGGCCCCAATTAACTTTTTGAAAGTTTTGAGAAAGGGAAAGAATTTATAGAATCCATACAGTATGGAAGCAGGCCCATTGAATCCACACCGACCCTCCGAAGAGCATCCCACCCAGACGTACCCCCTGCCCCTTATCCTATCCATACGTTTCCCACCTAGACACTATGGGCAATTTAACATGGCCAATCCACCCAACCTGAACATCTTTGGACTGGAGGAGGAAACTAGAGCACCTGGAGAAAACCCACGCAAACACGGACAGAATGTGCAAACTCCACACACAGTCGCCTGAGGCTGGAATCGAACCCGGGTCCCTGTTGCTGTGAGGTAGCAGTGCTAACCACTGAAATACCATGCCACCCCAAATTCTTGTCAAAATTGGCCTTCCTCCAATTTAGAACTTTTAACTTTTAGATCTGGTCTATCCTTTTCCATCTCTATTTTAAAACTAATAGAATTATTGTCACTGGCCCCAAAGTGCTCCCCCACTGACACCTCAGTCACCTGCCCTGTCTTATTTCCCAAGAGTAGGTCAGGCTTTGCACCTTGTCTTGTAGGTACATCCACATATTGAATCAGGAAATTTTCTTGTACACACTTAACAAATTCCTCTC